TTCAAGGCCCATTGACGCCGCCATGGCTAACATAATTCGGATCGAAGTCAATTTTACAATAAGAGAGAAAATTTCTTCAAAGTCAACTCATTTCTTTTGATTACAGTCTTTCACCATAATTCTGGCCTTGTATCTCGGCTTTTGACTGTTCTCTTCATGTTTGATTTTGTACACTCACTTATTTTTCAGAGCTCGTCTTCCTTAAGTCAGCTCGGTCAATTCATAAGTCTGATTTTTGTGCAAGGACTTCATCTCGTCAAGCATTGCCTTCTCGCAATCTTTCTTATCTGAGCTCGTCATGACCTCATCGTAACTTTGAGGTTCTCCATCTTTAGCAACAATAGTGTACTCGTCAAGAGGGTACCTTGTAGAAGGCCGTCTCGCTCGTGTATAGTATCTGAATTGATTTTCAGTTTGATAGTCCGGCTCAACATTCTCATCTCGGACCTTTGCATCAACCTCAATAGTTGACTCTTCTTGTTGCTGATCATTTACTTTATTTTATTGATTTGTTTCTCCCCCTGCATCATCTCAGACAAGAGGGACGAGTTCTTCACTTTGGACAAAAACCCGGACTTTGGGCTTCAAGATGTCTTTGATTGTCTCGTCTTCATAAAAGACTACATCTCAATTTCTCACTACAAATATGTTGACATGATCCCAAAGTCGAAAACCATACTTGCATCTCGATGAACCTAGGTAAATACATTCATTTGTCTTCGCATCAAGTTTTCCTTTTCGTCTTTGGGGGTATGCACGAAAACTCGGCATCCAAACACCTTTAGGTGATCGTAGGTCGCTTTTCGACCTGTCCAAACTTCTTCAAGAATTTCTCCTTCAAGTGGCTGTAATGGTGATAGATTGATCAAGTCAACAACAGTTCAGACTGCTTCACCCTAGAATGATTTTGGTAACCTGTCATGAGATAACATATTTCGGACCCTTTCTTCAATAGTCTGGTTCATTCTTTCAGCAACTCCATTTAGCTGATGAGTCTTTGGGGTCGTCTTCTCAAGTCGTATCCTGACCGCTCTACAATGAGCATTGAACCAGCCGCAGTACGCACCACCATAATCAGATGAGACCACTTTCAGCTTCTTGCCAATCTCCCTTTCCACCATTGCATGGAATTTTTTAAGGCTTGGAGTACTTGGTCTTTGGATTTTAACAAAAATACCCACAACTTACGGGAATGGTCATCAATAAAAGAAACGAAATATTGAGCTCCACCAAGTGGTCTTTTTGACATTGAGAAGACATCGGTATGGATAAGGTTAAGAACGTACTTGTGTCGTCTAGGCTGATCTGGTCTCACAAACGAAAACCGGTGTTGCTTTCTAACTAGGCAATGAGTGCAACTCTCTAGCACTTGGCCCTTTGATGTGTTTCCAATCTATTATGTATTAAGGGTTAATATGAGCATAAAATTGATTTAAAAATAATTAAAAGATATAAGAATTGCAATTAATGTGTTATTTTATTCTTAGTAATATTCTCATAAAAATTCTTATATTTTGCGATAAATTTTAGAGCTCATGTGGAATTATTTTGGATTTCTGAATCATATAATTGATTGAAGATCTTATTGAATATTCTCTTGAATATTTTTAATGAAAATTTTCCTTTAAATATAAAAGGGAAGATTTTAAGAATTTGATTAAAGATATGATTGGAGATTCTAGTGAAGATTCCATTGAAGATCTTATGGAAAATTAAAAGATACGATTTCATCACTATTAATAGGCAACTCTTGGAAACAGAAAAGGAGGCTGACATATTCTGAAAGAGGAAATGCAGAGTCCAAAGGAAGATCTCATTTTTTAGAGCTCAAGACGAAGATTAAAGGAAGATCAAAGCTTTGCAGTGGCGATCAACCATTATTCTTCTTCTACTCACTTCATCTATTTTAATTTTTTTTCTTGTTTTGTTTAAGCCAGATATGTCTGGCTAATTTCTTTTTGTAGTTAGGAATATGGATCTGACGTGAATCCTTGTTTTGGTTTAATTCTTTTCATTAATAAACTGTCTCAAATTATTTGTGTTTACCTTGATTTATATGTTTATATTCTTGTATGATCTGGCCAATTATATAGGGATAAAGAGGATTAGGGTTCACAATAGACAGACTGGGATCTTAATCTAGACAGGGGTAGAACACCAATTTTTGCATGACTTAGACATAGGCTTGTAGGAATTGTAAACTTTTATAATCATCGCGCTTAAGGCTTAATCTAAAAGGGATTTCTAATATATTAGGATTCCGGTTGGGTTAAAGGGTTAAAGAACTAAGAGATTATGATTTAATCAATTAATTCTTAGATGATTAATTGTTTGAAACAATTAAGATAGAATATTATTGAATTGAATTAAAGCAATTAAGGGAGATCAGAGATAAAGTAAACCCAACTACTTTTTTATTCATAATTTCAAGTTCATCTTTTAAATCAATTTCTTTATTTGCATCTTTAATTGAATTTTTTATTAAATATTGGTTACCTGTGAAATCACCTTTGGAATTATCTAACTTAGATAAAAATGGTAAAATTATTGCTTGACTTTAGTCCTCGTGGGAACAATACTCTACTCAATATTTTATTACTTGTATGACCGGTATACTTGTTGTATTCGCAACACCCTTCAACCTGTTCAGAAGTCCTTTCTTGTTCAGGATCTAAAGTCATTTTTTGCTCATGTGGCCAAGGCACTTATGCCATAACTTCATGCTGGGTCTACCTCGGACAGATTTGGCTTCTCCACCATTTATCTCTCCTTGCATCACATACAAGGACCCTTCTTTCTTGCCTCGGGCAACCACTGAATTTCCTTTGGCAAGTTTCCATCTTCCACTTCCGAAATGATTCATTAACCCGACATCATCAAGCATGCTTACCAAGATTAGGTTCAAATGCATGTCAGGCGCATGCCTTACTTCCTTCAGCACAGAGTTAGTAGCTGTAACATCGTAGGCGCTAATGAGGGCGAGGAGTGATCGCTGGTACGAAAAGGCACAGACAAAGAGCGGCTCCTGGAAGGCTTCCAGCGGCGGGGGTACGTGAATGAATCGAATCGACCACCAAAAGAGAGGGATTCCAAAGACTGTGCAGGTATGAGACTGCACAGTTGGGGATAATTTATAAGAATTAATTGGTACTACCAATACTAACAAGATGCATCTACTTTTCGGTAGCTCGAAACGGAAGAACTCCATAGTTAAGCGTGCTTGACTTGCAGTAATTCTGGGATGGGTGACCTCCTGGAAAGTTTTCCCAGGAAGTGTGCGAGTGAGGAAAAAGCACACTAAAAAGTCTCGTGTTAGTATGTGGGGATAGTCATTGATTCTTGAAGCGGCCGGGCATTACAATAGCCATCGCAGTGCTGCTATTGTCTTCTTCTTTTTTTGGTACTATCTAATCCGACTTCACAATGTCATTCTTTTGGTCTTTCTGCAGAGTTTGGCAGTTAGGCTTCTTGTGGCTGGGCTTCTCACAGTAGAAGCATTTTAATTCATATTTTGGCCTAGACTGGCTTTTGGCCTTGTCACGTCTGATACGACCCCAGTTCTTGCTTCGACCACGGGCGTCAGACCTTCTTCTATTCTTAGCAACGTTTACCTCGAACATGCTGGTTACACCTCGTTCTCTTCTCCTGGATTCTTCATTCAGAATGTTGTCAGTCACGACGTCGATTATCAATTTTCCATCAGTAGCCGAGTTACTTAAAGTAACTACCATAGTATCTCGACTTTCTGGCAGCGAACTCAAAAGCAGCAAAGCCTGCATCTTGTCATTGATCTTCATCTCGACTTTAGAAAGCCAATTCACGATTCCTTTGTAAGTGTTGAGGTGTTCAATTATACTCTTGTTGTCCTTGTATTCAAGCTTCACAAGTCGGCGAACTAGGTGTGCTTTGTTCGTGGAGTCTTCTTCTGAATCATGGACTCTAGCTTCGTTCATAACTCGTACGCATTCGTGGACTTGGACACATGCTCAAAGAGGCTTTTGTCGATGTACTTACTGATTACAGCCATGACCTTTCGATTCAGGATTTCCCACTCTTCTCGGTTTTGCCTTCAGGCTTCTCTTTATGGATGATGGACACATATATGTCTTTGCAGTACAGATGCTCTTCTATCATATGTCTCCAGTATGTAAAGTTATTTGCAGTCAGCTTGAACATATTTCTGTCATGGGCAATGCCACTGATTTCCATCTCGTCTCCTTCAGAACCCTTTGAACTCGGGCTCTGATACCACTGTTGGGACGTCAATCCCTCAAATCATGTGAAGGCGAATTTCGCAAGCGACACGTTGAGCTCGAAGCACGGCACTCAGGGTCGGCCTAAAGTCACCAGGTTGGCTAACACGCAACAGAAAATGAAAAATACAGAAGTGAGAGAGACAGAGAAAACACGTTATCTTTTATCATAGAAAACCTTCTCTAATGCAAAGAAATAAAAACCACAGGACACTAGTCGAGAAAATCTTTTACTATGTAGAATAGAGAGATTACAAAGAGTCAAACTTTCCTAGTTACACTAGAGGTACAATTAAACTCCACCAAAGATGATGGTAATCTCAAAAGTCTCTAAAGATGTCTCTCTTCAAACTTCTCTCTAGAGATATTCAGAAAAATTCTCTCAGCTAACCTATTACAAAAAGGTGATGGAACCCTCCAACTTCTTCCGGAATCTTCTTCAATGATTATGGTGATTGAGGTGATTGGACAGACATTGAGTCCTACACCAATAAATGTGGTGCATGCCAACATTAATGGAAGATCCACCCCAACAAGAGGGTGTTATAATCTTCGATTCACTTTGACAGATCAAAACAGCAAATTACTTAGCAGCATTTCACACCACGCAACTCAACATGATTAGTCTTAGGAGGATTCACTTAAACCACATAATTCCTTGTAAAAAGGAACTTCAGAAAATTTCATGCTTTCCTTATGCAACTTCACTGAAAATTACAATGCAATTGTGCAACTACATATGTACAAAAATTTCACATGATCACTAAGTAGCAGATCCATATAAAAAGGGATATCAACCGTTTGTGTGGTAAAAAAGATGTCATTCTGTTATTTATGATCCAAATGACTGATGAGTCTCTCTAGAGGCATTAATTTACACACTGCTGAATGATATATGAGCATGATTGTTGCCACAGAGACCAAAAGGATGAACCATCTCTTTTTCTAGTTACTCGTTAGATTATAGTCTGTCACTGATGCTGAAGGTGCAGCGAAGCATGGGTTATGTTGCATAGGCCATGAGATTGGTTCTGGGCAACATGATGCAGGAGCAGGAAGTGCAATGACTGTAGGAATCTGCTGGCCAGGCATCAACACTAATACACCTCTCTCATTAATGGTCATCTAACTTGAACAGAAATAAAAAATATTAGCTCTCAGTAGCATTCAAATAAAAAAGTATGAGTTAAAAGGAGGATGAGTTATCATCCAAATACATGAAAAAGATTATTAACCCCTGCAGTAGGAGCTGTCAGTTGGGGTGGTTACCATGTGGGTTTATCTACCATTGCATCATTGTATTGTAACTTAGAAGTTAAGTGATTGCTATAAGAAACTCAAGTATTTAAAAGGAAAAGTTAGAGAACTGTTTAAGAAGAAAAACATCTGCACTCAATGAAATTAGAATATTAGACAATTGTTATTAAGTAAAAGTTTAACTTGTAGATATCATTATGTTCTATATGTGCTTAAGCGTCCATTACTAAAGGTAGTAAGCATTGATAAATGATTGGCATACACATTTTCTCGTGCAAGAGTTCTTTGAGTTTGAAACGTAAATATTGTACAAACATTTTTTTTTCTTTTATTTTGTGCTGACTTAATTCTACTAGAAAATAAGAGGTGGTGAAACTCAAACCCGTGACCTTATAATTAGCTAGGAAGCTCTGATACCATAATTAGCAATCATCTCATCCAAAAGTTTAAGTTAACAAGTGACGATTTATTTTATATAAAAGCCAAGTAAACTTAATCGGAGTAGGAGTATGATGCTACTATCATAACACCACCAAACTGACCACTTTTTAGAAATAGTATTCAATCTTTGATAAAACTACTAAAACTATTAGAATTTATCTTGCATGACGGTATGCAAATTACCTATGTAGTTAATTCAATATGATAGGCTTAACATTATTACTTGTTTGGTCTAAAAGCTTATGAATTTATTGCCCCCACGCAAATTCAAAGTTATGGAAAAATCTTAGTCAAAACTGCATCATTATTGGCTTTAGAACAGCATGCCAGGAAAGTGAAAAAGGAAAAAAAAAGTCATAGTTTCACCATCAAGGTGAATCAATTGAACTAGAAGGAAACGGAAGCAAAGGAAGGTTTTTAGAGTGCACCTTGGGTTTTGGATTCTCGAGCTTTCCTCCAAAGTCCATTTGTTGTTCAAGATCCATTGAAGTTCGAGCACTGGATTCAGCTGATCTTTGCCTAAGAAACTTCTCAAAGATGGCCAGAAGAAGAAACATTGAAATGAGGATGGCAGTGGCAACAAGCCCAAAATAAACCGAATTCACAGAGTCATCAAAATGTTTCCAATGCTCTTGTCTCTGTGAGTTCAATGGTGCCACCGTTGGAGGTGTGGCTTCAGCACCCATCACAGCATATATTTTGAAGCACTACTTGTTTTTTTCACTCTATCTTTCTCATTACCAATTTAAGACAGAAAGAACAAACTTTTTTTTTTTTTTCCCTTACAAGACCACATTCATGATGGAATTTGCAGTTACACCACTGAGAGAGACGATTCTTAAGGCCTCAAGTTCCGTTGCCATGTCTACGATAACGATAGGAGTGTACTTCAGGGGACAAAGAAATGATGAGACAGAGAGACATGACAAAGAAGCAACAGCAGAAGGTTAATAACTTGGTATATATTCAGCAAAAAAAAAAAAAAAAACTTGATACAGTAATAGTATTGGCTGCATATAGATAACTTTCTATGTGTCAACCACTAATATTTTCGAACAAATCACCTATATTTTTACACTAATTTTACAACCTATGTATGTGAGAAAAAAAAAAAGAGATAAGAATTTAGGTTCGTTTGATTGTATTCTCTGTTTTTCTTTTTGATGAAATATGTATTTTTTATATATATTTTTAAAAATTTAAAAATAAAAAAAAAACTTATATATATTTTTTAAATTTGATTCTATTTTTTTTTTTATAAAACAAACCTTATCAAACAAATTTTTTTATTTTGAAAATCAAAAATCTGTTTTACAAAACAAATTTCAAACAAACCCTTATTTTCTAAAAACTTTAATTTTATTTCTAAGGAAGATACCATATACGTTACTTAAACAAATATAACTTTTTTTGAAAAAAACTGAAGTTATTAATTAAAAGTTGAATAATGATTGTATGTTTTTATTAATATTTCTCATATTGTAAGATATAATTTTATTATATATATATATATATAAATATATATATGAGATTTTTATTATTATTTTATCTCTCTCCTTTTTATATAGTATTATATGAATTTTATATATTTTTATATGTATTTAAACGATAATTTATTTATTTTTTATAATATAAAATATTAATATAATATTTCTAACAATAATAGTAAACAATGTGACAAGTATGACATGATGCACGCTTAGAATTGAATGCAGTGTTGGAAATAATGGAGCTGAAATCAACAAAGTGGTACCACTACTACTCAGAGTCTCAGAGACTGAGTTCACGTGCAATGGCACCTCGAAGCGATGTTGTGGGGCGTGTTTTATTCAACGAGGATTGACGTGGTGACATTGGGGTCACTGTCAATCACATGATATATGTGCCCAAGAGAGAGATTTCACGGGCTATGCCTATGGTCCCTCCCAACAAGGACCAAACCAAACATTGGTGGTATGGTACCGCGCTGGCCTTACAAAATATCTCCCTTAACTGCCCTTGAAGGTCATTCTGTGTATTTATTGCTAGAACTAGCCTTTTTGTTTTTTGGTAATCTAACTAATTTTCCTTAACTTATAAACTTCTGGGCGTAGTTTATCGTGAAAAACAAAAAATTACTGGTATAATTTATTTTTATTTTTTTTAGACTACAGCCTCTACAGGTGTAATTTTATTTTCAACTTTTGTGGCTGGGAGAGTTATAATTATTATCTCTTATAATCAAATTTTAATTGTTGATTGTTGTCAATCTAATGATTATAATTTATTAAAAATTAATAATTAAATAATAAGTATGATCCAATAAATTATAATCGTTAGATTGACAGAAACCAACGATTAAGATTTAGTAATAAAAAATAGTAAAAAAAAATAGATAGTAATTATAATCTTTCTCGTTGTAGTTATATGATTTATTATTTGACACATTGTACTTTCAAATTTGTTATTTAGATTTATTGTAATTATAAAAAAAGATAGGTTATTCTGTCTATCCTTAATTTGCTTACTTTTGTCTACCCTTTTCAATACTCTTCGATTATAATTTAATCTAACGATCCATATTTGCAAAATAAAATAAATCATTTTTTTTTTGTTTCTTTCCTGCTCACTTCCTCTCACACCTTTTCTCTCTCCTCCCCTTTCTATCTTCCTCTACGACCAATAACTCTACAAACATCAGCGAGAAAGGGGAAAAAATAGGTATAGGTAAATCTGATTTGCTCTATTCTTAATGAAAACTATTGGGGATTGTATTCTCTGAAGTAAATCTGCATATTTATACTCCTTTGAGCGATTATCAAGTTTTCGATAGTGATGTTGATGGGTAGAAAAAATAGAAAGTTGCTAGTAAACGAGAACCCAGAGTTTTTACCTATCAGATCAATAATATTTCTTGAGATGAGTGTGTATTAAATTAATATTAAGGGTCAGTCTGGTGTGGGATTAAAAATGGGGGTGAAGAATTCATTGGTGTAAGTCTCTTAAAAAATGACTGCTTCATGGTACATCCTGTGTGGATTTGGATTCCCTTTGTTGTGTATGTACCCATTTTTCAGTCACCTTAAGTTTTTGAAAAAATTATATTCCTTTATTTTTATGGAAGGTTCATTTTAACTATAAACATTTGCTTCTGACCATACCTCTACAGACAAAGGAAAAAAAATAGGCATGAGTATTAGCGTAGAGGAAGAGAGAAAAGGAAGAAAAGAGATAGAACGTAGGAGGAAGTAAAGAGAAAAAAAAAAAGGATTTATTTTATTTTGCAAATATGAACCGTTGAATTAGATTGTAATCGAAAGGTATTGAAAGAGGTAGGCAAATGTAAGAAAAATAAGGATAGACAGAATAACATATCCCTTAGGGGGCGTTTGATACAGGAGAAATTTTTATTTGTCCGGGAATCTCAATTTTCAAAAATATGATTTTTACATTCAGTTTACGATAATATTCAAAAATTTAAAATTTAGAAAAACTCAGTTTCCCGGGAATCCGGCCAAATGCCGCGTACCAAACGCCCTCTTATAAAAATGTATCATTTAACCTATTGTGGTTTCAAAATATATATCACAATAAAAATAAATATTTTATTTTATTTTATTTTATTTAAATTCATTAGATCAGATTAATTTAAATCTTGTGATCTTATATTTTTATCATAAAAATAAATTTAAGTTAAATATTATTTTATTTTATTTGATATTGTTACAATATTTTTAAATTATTAAAATAAATAATTTATTTAACTATTAAGTCTTTAATTTATCTTTAATAATATTTTTAATTTTAAATATATTTGTTACATAAATAAATAAAAAAATCTCCCTTAACTGCCCTTGAAGGTCATTCTGTGTATTTATTGCTAGAACTAGCCTTTTTTTTTTTTGGTAATGTAACTAACTTTCCTTAACTTATAAACTTCTGGGCGTAGTTTATCGTGAAAAAAATAAAATAAAAATTACAGGTATAATTTTTTTTTGTTGGTAGACTATAAGTATAATTTTATTTTCACCTTTTGTGGTTGGGAGAGTTATACTTCCTATCTTTTTTTTACTATCTCTTATTATCAAATCTTAACCGTTAATTTTTGCCAATTTAACTATTATAATTTATTAGAAATTAATAATTAATTAATAAGTATGACACAATAAATTATAATCGTTAGATTGATAAAAATCAACGATTAAAATTTAGTAATAAGAGATAGTAAGAAAAAAAGATAATAACTATTCATTTTATTTTATTTTATTTGAATTAAATTCATTAGATCATATTAATTTAAATCTTGTGATTTTATATTTTTAGAGTAAAAATAAATTTAAGTTAAATATTATTTATTTTATTTATTTATTTATTTATTTTATTTGGTATTGTTACAATATTTTTAAAATATTAAAATAAATAATTTATTTAACTATTAAGTCTTTAATTTATCTTTAATAATATTTTTAATTTTAAATATATTTTTTACATAAATAAAAAAATTTAAGATGATTTTTAAAATACTATGAAAATAAATAACTTTAAATATTTTTAAATTTAATCATTAATAATTAATTTATTAATTTTTTCGATAATATCATAATTATATAAAATAAAAATTAGAAAAAAATAAAGAATTTTATATTTATAAGACTATTTGGATTCAAGTGATATATTTTTGTTATCATGATGGGTGTAAATGAATGTATGAAATTGCAGGGGTTAAATGATAAACTTATTCAATCACAATGGATATGAATGATAAGTTTGAAATCACAAGGAATTAAGTGATATGTCCATTACACCACAACGGGTGAAAATGAATTTTTTCCAAAATTATATTAAAAATATATAATATAAATTATTAAGAATTTATCACTTAATAACTTAAACTTTTAAATTCTAGTAGGCATATTTATCTACCTATTAATTCACATATTTAGTTATGAAAGCAAACTTTATGTTCAAATTAAATTATCTGGTTATTGAAACTTGAAAATGGCAGTAACAGAGAACAATTATATATGAAAACTTACGTAGTAGTACAACTTAAAATTCATGAGAAACATTTACCAAAAATAAAAATAAAAATAAAAATCATGAGAAACAACTATATATAAAAGCATTCTTTTGGGGTTCTTCACTGGAAAGACGTAGAAGATAAACCATGAAGTTGAACTCCACAGCAAGAAAGATTTCTCAAAATTTAAAATTCATGAGGAAATTCAATTTTTTACACTATTTGCTGAATTATATGAGTCTACTTATTTAAAAATAAGCATTTTTTTTATGAGGAAAGCATTTTTCTGATATACGAAATAAAATTATCCTGCAATTAAAAAAAATCATTTTGAGGTTTAGAAAAAAAAAATACAGGATTTTAAGGATCTTTTTTTTTCATTTTTACAACATGAATTTATATAAGGAACTATGAATTATTTTTTATATCCAAAAATAATGTTGTTTTGAGATTGAAAATATAATTTTACCTTCCAACAAAGACTAAAATATTTTTTATTTCAAGTTAAAAAAAAAAAAAAAAAAAAAACAGTTGTTACATTCTTGGGAGCTAAACGAGGATCCACATTAACTCCTATCCAGCTCTCCCTGGCCCCGTGTAGTCAGCACTGACCAAGGGAAAGCAATTAGGCATTAAAGCATTAGTAATTCCTTAATTACTGTAGGTTTCGGCTTTATTAAACTTTATGAAAAATCATTTAAAAAGAGAGAGTAATATATCAATTATAAATTATTTTAAATACAAAAT